ATCTGTAGTTCCTGTTTGTTTACTCAGATATTCCATTTCCAGCCTTCCCTCAGTTTGTGTCTTCTTTATTGCCTCTATTTCAGTTTCCAAATCTGGGACTTTTTCATTCACCTATTTAACTGCTTTTTCCTGGCTTTCTTTAAGTGATTTACTGATTTCTTCCAATTATTTGTCTTTTCTTTGAGTTCTTTAAGGGCAGTCTTCATTTCCTCTTTAAAGACTTCTATCATCTTCTTAAAGTCATTTTAAAGGTCTATTCTTTCTGTTTCTTCTGCTTTGGGATGTTCAGGTCTTGCTGATGTAGCACCACTAGGTTCTGATGGTACCATATTAGTCTTTATGTTGTTGACTGTATTTCTGTACTGGTGTCTACCCATCCCTTCCTCCATTCCATGAAAGTGCTGTCTGGTTTTAAGAGAGACTCTATGTTTTCGATTGATACTTTTGGTCTAATGGGAGCTCTTGGTCTAATCCAGGCTCTTGGTCAAATCTGTGCTGATGGATTTTGTGTCTCAGGGAGCAGAACTTAGTCTACTGGGCACGAGTGGGCTCTGTCTCAGGGAGGATCTATTTCCAATGGGTGCAGAGTGGGACCTGTTTTCAATTCCCAATTGGTGCAGGGTGGGCTTATGTTTCTGGTTTTCACTGGTGTCACACTGGTCTGTTTTCTAGGGAAGGAGGTGGGGGAAGGGGCAGCTGGCTAGTCCTTGGGGCTCCAATGGCTTGGGGGAAGGGCACAGGGTGTTCCCCCCAGGGCCTAGGATCTAGGGACCTGGCCTGCCCAGTCCAGAGATGGGGCTTTACCTGTTCCCAATTAGTATAGGGTGAGCTTGTGGCTCTGGTTTTCACTGGTTGTTCTCTTCGCCATAATTGAACTTTGAATATGTCTATTGCCCACAAATTTAGAAATAACAAGAATACCTAAATGAAGTGAATTTTCAGCAGTAGCTTCTATTTGGAAATAGATTGTCTGTATGTGAGACACAGTGAGGGGCTCTTCTATTTTGTTTAAATATATATTTCAGAAAATCTTACTGAAACGTTAAGTAAGTTCAATCTTTACTATACTAAATTAAAAGATTTTATGAAAAAGACTCAATTCATTAACCAATCAATTTTATCTGGATTGTATTTTGTTCTTAAAATATTTCAAAGTGTTTTCATCAGGTTTAACAAGAATAATGTAGCACTTTGGGAAAAAGATGCATCCTAACAGCCCTGCACTTGAAGTCAAGATGGAGAAGACCTCCACAGCCACCATGGCCTTGTCCTTGGTGCTGTGGTAGACAGGGAGGAAGGTGACCCAGACACTGCAGAATACCAGCATGCTGAATGTCAGGAACTTGGCTTCATTGAATGTGTCAGGCAGGTTCCTGGCCAGGAAAGCCAGAGTGAAGCTCCCTAGGGCCAGGATCCCCAAGTATCCCAGAACACAGTAGAAAGCAATAAGTGAGCCCTTGTTGCACAAAATGACGATGTGACTCTGTTCAGAGTGTGCATCTGCCTCAATATAGGGAGGAGAGGTTCCCAGCCAGACTCCAAGAAGAATAAACTGGATCAAGACACAGATGGGGATGACAGAGTTATGGATGCCTGAGACAAGCAGCCTTCTCATTGTCCTTCCTGGCTTCAGGGCTCTAAAGGCCAGAATTACAGTTATAGTTTTGGCCAAAACAGTGGAAAGAGCCAGAGTGAACACAAGTGCAAATGCAATTTGCTGCAATATGCAGGAGGCTGTGCTTGGGTGGCCAATGAAG